TAATCAGTCAGGAGTCTCCAACTTTTTTGAACAGCCAAATCTTCAAACTCCATTAAGACAAGTAGTTTTCAGAAGGCCAATGTTTACAGTTGTATGAAAACAACATGTTCTTTAAACATGGCCTTATTGAAGCAAGGAGCCGGGACCCAAGGACATTGTAGGGCTCTCAAAATACAATCTGAAATCCAGGGGGCACATTAGCCTCCTCAGTCTGCAAATGAGAAAAAGTGAACCCCAGAGGGACCGTGGGATCGGCAGAAGGTGACAGGAGGTACAAGCGAGAGGACACGGCGTTCTCATTAAGTGAGCGCCGAGGGGGTATGGGGCACGTTCTAGGGCCTAGGGATGTAAGAGAACAACTGGGTATGGTAGAGTAGATCCTGCATTGTAAACAATCACCAATGAGGCTGCAGGAACACAAAAAAAGAGCTGTGGGAAGACACAGGGGACGAGCCTGGTCTACCATGAGGACTTGCCACAAGTGAACTGAGGCCAAAAGAAAAGGTCTCTGAACAAAAGAAGGTGGGTGGGGTTTACAGAGGAAATGAATTTGACGACCCGGGACCTTGCAGGCTCTCCTATGCAAAGCCCTAGAGCAGAGGAATATAAGGCTTCTAACGCTGGCAGGACCCGAGAGGCATCACTAGGCCTGACAATGGCCAGGGAAGGGTTCTCATGCTTGGGGCTGATCATTTGCATTAGAAGGTCACTTGCGTTAAATGCCAGGTTGTGTGCTGATTTGGACCCTAGAAGAGAAAATAGACTTTAGTGAGGAACTTGGGGAAATCCAAACCAATTCTTTAGTTCATTTAATAGAGACATAGTAATGCTAATTTCTTAATTTTGCTACATGGTTCATACATAAGTCATTAACATTTAGGAAAGTAGGTGAGGTCAAATGAAAACTACACCATCTTTTTTGTTTTTAAAGATTTTTTTTAAAATATGCTTGTGTGTGCACATGTGTAAATGCAGAGAAGTACATCATGTCTCTCGGAGCTAGAGTTGCAGGTGTCTATGAACCACTTGAAGTGGGCTCGGGGAATCGAACTCAGGTCATCTGGATAAGCAGCAAATAGTCTTGATGTTTCTTCAGCCTTTTCTATACCTCTTCTGTAAATCCAAACCTATTTCAAAATAAAACATACTTTAAATGCACAGAATGGGAATGCAATGTCTGTATCAAGCTTTGTATATAGTGTATATCCCTCTGGCAGAGAAGAAAAACATTGTATGTGGAAACACAGATTATAGGACTAATGATGACCAACATAAAAACAGCTTTCTCTGTATACCAGGTGTTGTTCCGAGTGCGTCCTACCATGTTTAATCCTCACAATCCTAAATCGTATGTATGCTATCTATTCCTATTTTGCAGATAAGGAAGCTGAGCACATGCAAGTTAAGCTGGCAAATTGACTGAAACCCTGAAGGATGGATCAGATTTGAACCAAGGGAGGCAAAAGAGAGAATTACAGGTTGATCGGACAGCTCATGCAAGAATGGGGACAGAACTTGTCTAAAGACACACAGTTACTGAGGGCCAGAGCTGGCATTTAAGAATTTGAATCCAGGGCTGAAGAGATGGTTCAGTGGTTAAGAATGAATATTGCTCTCCCAGAAGACATGAAATCAATTCCCAGCACCCACTTGTAACTCAACTCCAAGAGATCTGATGTCTCTGGCCACTTGGAGCACTGCACTCACATACACATACACATAGTTAAAAATAATAAAATAAGTATTTTAAAAATAATTTGAATCCAGAGCTGGCCATGGTGATTCGCAGCTATAATCCTAGTACTTGGGAGGTGTGTGTGGGGGGATCTCTGTGAGTTTGAGGTCAGTCTGATCTACATAGCAAGTTCAAGGACAGCCAGGGCTACATAAAGAGATCCTGTCTTTCCAGGTAGTGGTGGTTCATGCCTTTCATCCCAGCACTTGGAGCAGAAGTAGAAGGCCAGCCTGGTCTACAGGGCAGTTACACAGAGAAACCCTGTCCCAAAAAAAAAAAAGGAAAGGAAAGAAAGTGTGCCACCAGCACCCAGCTTGTGGTCCCAACTCTTAAGCTAGGAGCCCAGGAGTCCTTCTTTCCGACTGCTTGTCGCATCCCAGCTTGGTTCTGCCATGCTTATGCCAGAGGGTGTTGTGAAGACCATACAGAAATCATGAGCACAGAGAGACCAGGCTGATGAGAGCAGACATGAGGTCGTGTCGTCCCGGATAGGGCGTGGGCGCACGCCTTTAATCCCAGCACTTGGGAGGCAGAGGCAGGTGGATCTCTGTGAGTTTGAGGCCAGCCTGGGCTACAGAGTGAGTTCCAGGATAGCCAGAGATACACAGAAAAACCCTGTTTCAAAAAAAAAAAAAAAAAAAAAAAACGAGTCAGGACGACACCCTGCGCCCTCCTGGTGCCTGGCCTTATTTTCCTAGCAGCAAAGGAAATCTTTCTGATCTTTTGCAATCCCATTGCACACACCTGCCCCTCTCTCACACTCCCTCAGACTGCGAAACAAACCAGGCCACTGCCGTTTTCACAAAGGCAGAACCCTTACCTTCAGACATCTCCACACTCTTGCACAATAGCACTATTTTCCCAAAATTCTCTCTCTGTCTTCCTAGGTTCAAATCTGATCCATCCTTAAGAGCAGCAGTTAACCGTTGCCTCTTCAAGCCGAAGGTGTATACTGCCTTGTTCCCTTGCCTACATCTTCTCCACCCTGAGGTGGTTTGTCCCTCCTGAAGACACACACCCTCTTTATATGCCTTGTTTTGTTTTCTGTTTGTTTGTTTTTCGAGACAGGGTTTCTCAGTGTGGCCCCAGCTGTCCTGGAACTCGCTTTGAAGACCAGTCTGGCCTTGAACTCGGAGATCTGCCTGCCTCTGCTCCTGCCTCTCAAGTGTTGTGATTAAAGGCATGTGCCGCCATCCCGGTTTTAAGACTTCTTAAGAACAACAATCTCCAGCAAGGGTGGGGGGAGAAGGTAGGACAACTGGCAGAACTTGGCGTACCTGGAATTACCCCCTTGAACCCAACCATTCAGCTCCTATGATGCGTCAGGCACAAGCGAGAAACTCATTTTGGCTTTGGCAAACTTAAAAGCACTTGCCAGCCAGATGGGAGATTCCTGGCTGGGATCCTGGCCACCACTTGCTAAATTTAACAGGGCATTCCCCAGCTTAAGACCCTCCTGAGGCCACTACCTGGCATGATTCTGATCTACAGACTTGACCTTGCCTCAAGCTGAGGCTGGGTTAGGACCAATTATTTATGAGCCCCCTTCCCTAATACCTTAGCTGTGGCTCACCTTTGTGGTTTTCCCTGTGCTGACCCCTACCTTAAATCCAGTTGCAGCCGGGCAGTGGTGGTGCATGTTTTTAATCCCAGCACTGGGGGAGGAAGAGGCAGGCGGATCTCTGAGTTTGAGGCCAGCCTGGTCTACAGAGTGAGTTCCAGGACAGCAAGGACGAAACAGAGAAACCCTGTCTTGAAAAACCATAAATAAATAAATAAACAAATCCAGTTGCTTGAGGGACTGTGTGTGTGTGTGTCTCAACCCCACCCGATCTCCCTTCCCACAGAAGGGTCCAGCCCAGCCCAGCCCAGCCCAGGCTAAAGTAGATGTTTTCCTGGTGATTCTGAAAACCTACTACACTGTGGTGAATGGTTCTTCAGAACTTCTGCTTCTATGTCTCTCCCCGGACTAGATCCAGCTCCTGTTGGGCAAGGACCAATGACGAGACCACGCAATGCATTCGCAGGTCTGGCGGTTAGTGTGTTATGAAGTCGGTCCTGAGTTACACATGTGAAACTTAAAAGGCTGCAGAGAGTGAGTGTTCCCGTGAGTGGAGTGACTTCTTTAGGAGACCGAGGCCACGAGCCCAGGAGTGGGGAAGTGTCACCCTCCTCCACCCTCAGGCCCCTCCCACTCTCGGAAAGGGAAATTTACATTTTATCAGAATGTGGCTGCTTCCTATGCCTCTGTGTCCTTGGGGTTGGGCAAAGGGCAGAGGGGGCGTTGTCTGGTCAGGCCTCCTGGGAGTGTTCCGCTTTCTTGACTGGGAAACCCTGTCTGTCTGCCGCTCCCAGGCCAAGGATGGGGAGCCGAAGGTCCAGGCTTCAGACTGCTATGGGCCCCTCCGGCTCAGTCACCTTGGCAAGAAGCCACCCGGATGTGGTGGGTAGCGAACAGGATGGGGCGGAGAGTCCTGGCCGTTCTGGGACACCGACTGGATGGGCCACTTTCGCGGGAATCCCGCAAACCGCTCAGAAACGAGGTGCGGGCAATGGGAGCCGACTTGCTTTCTTGCTCTTTGGGGAAAGCAGAATGCTTCAATTTCGGGACGAGGACCCCCTGAAGGCAATGAGGATTATAAAAGAAGTCCCACTAGAAATCTGAGTGCCCTGATCTCATCCACCAATGCCTTCCCTCCGCTTCTCCACAGCTTTCGCGGTTGGGTCTCCGCTAAGCTGGTTCTGTCCTGTGTCCACATCTTGGAGCAGAAGCTTTGACAGCTGCGTTCTAGACTGTTCTCTGCTTCTTTCTGCCCCGGACCACTCTCTACGCCCTCCTCTGGGCCTTTGTTTCCTCATCTGCAAAATGGGCCCAGGGTTGGAGGAGAGGGCTGGAAAAGCCCTCGGAGCTCGGACAATGCCAGATCCAGCGTTCACACGGCTCCCCACGGCCGCCCCCCTCCCCATCTTAACTCCACCCCTACCGAGCAGCTTCTCCCCCTTGCCGGCCGCTAGGGGTCACTGCCTCCCTTTGTCAGCGACCGGGTAGGGCAGCCCGCCCTCCAGCCCTCTCCGCGGCCGAAAGGCGACTCAAGGGGCATCTCGCTAGCGAGGGGGCCTGAGCGGGACCCCACGGCCACGCTCGCAGCCGGAGGTGCCTGGGGTTGGGAGGTGCAGGCGCGCGGGCGGAGGCCGGGCCAGGGTTGGGCCGGGCGCGTGGGAGCCAGGAGGGGGTTAACGCTAACCCCTCCCCCCGGGCTGACATCACGGGAGAGCGGGTGAGAGGCTAGATCGGCGAGTGAGAGAAAGAGAGGGAGAGCAGCAAGCGCGGCTCGCCTCGGCTCCCAGGCAGCTCCACATTGTTGCGGATCGCCCGCACCGGGCGCAGCGGCAGTGGTGGGGACCCGTGGCGCACCTGGCTCGCTCCCCTTGCTCCTCCAAGACCGCGCAGCCCGGAGCCTCGAGGGCAGCTGCCCGCCGGAGCCCCACACCACCGCCTGGGCCCCGAGCCCTCCGCACCGCCCGGCCACCCTCTGGAGAACGGCCGGCCATGGACGCCTGCAAGTTGGAGCTGAGCGGGAGGGTGTGAGCGCGCCCAGGGCCGGGAGCCTGCGCCGCGCTAGCCGGGCAGCCGGGCGCGCCGGGGGTGGGTCCCTCTCCCCAGCCCGGCTCTGCGTGGAAGAAGAGGGCGGGGACCGGGGTGAGGAAGAGAGCGGAGGAAGCGAAGGGGGCATGACTCGTGCAACTTGCGGCGGGCATCTGCCGAGGCTCTGAGCCGGCGGCAGCCCGGGCCCGGATTGTGGCCGCGCGGATCCCACCCAGCCCATCCCGCCCAGGCCGACGGCTGCGGCTGACCTGGATCCTCCGAGCGCCAGCCGGCCGCCAGCGATCCGCCCTCGTCTTCCAGGCTGGTTTCTGGAGCGCGAGGAGCGCCCTCCTGGCCGCCCCTTTCGCTGGACCCCCGCCCTCCGATGGCTCGGATGGGGCTTGCGGGCGCCGCTGGACGCTGGTGGGGACTCGCTCTCGGTTTGGCTGCCTTCTTCCCAGGTAAGACGATCGCCTCTGCCTCCCCTCCATACCTCCCACCCAACCAGAGCCTCCCCGGGACTGGGAGCTGGATGACGGGCACGACTGGGTTGTAGGGAGCGAACGGAGCCAGAAAAGTTGGGTCACGCTTGGATAAGGAGTGGGGGCTGGAGGTGGCACCGTGGAGAAAGGGGTTGAGAAGCCGAACAGCCTGCCCTGCAGGGAAGCAATCGGATGCACGTCTCTATGTAGCAAGAAAGCACTTTCTCCGCTCAGTTCTTCACAAAAATAATAATATGTAATAGGGTTCTATTTATTTAATAACCAGTTCTCAGCTCGAGAAGCAGTTTGGAAACACTGAGTGTTACATAAATGCAAAATAATCACCGTAATCACAGGCTCGGGGTATGAGACAACAGCCCCAGGGGGAGGGCGTCAGTCTCCGAGCTGGTGGGCTATGGGCTTGGAGGGTTGCAGGGGGCTTCGTTTCTTTTGGCGGCCTCTTGTCAGATGGTTTCGGGCTCGCGGGGGGCCCCCTCTTGCCCCACATCGCCCCACAGCGGGCGCTCGGAGCGGCTCCTGCGGCACAGGCAGCTTCTTGCTCACCTGCGGTTCCTTTTCTGGAGGGTGAGGCCGGGCCGCCTGGGGATCACAAACTCCCGGCCTTGCGCGGGACTGGGCTCCGCCTTGGAACTCCACTTCTAAAGCGGAGGGCTCCCCCAGGAGGAAGCTCCATGGGCTTCATGCCAGCCAGGTGGCCGCATGACCCACTTTCCCAAGAGGCCCCGAGGGTGTCCCGCGAGTCTTCCCTCAAGGTGTGAGCTGCCGGCAGAAGAGGGGTTAACTCCGCGCCCGACCCTGGGGTGGCCCGTGGTGGCCCATTCTGACGGATGAGGTGGGGGCGGAGGCTGGGACCGGCCCAGGCATATTGTGCTGGGGAATGAACTGGAAAATGCGTTTAGGAGGCAAATCCTACCGAGTCCCCTTGCCTGGATTTAACCCCTTGTGTCCCTGGGGAAGCAACTGGGCTGCCAGCAGGACACTAATGTGGGCCAAGGTGGGGGAAGTATCTCTCTAGCCACCCCCCCAAAACAAACCTGAGATGAGCTCTGGCCCTAGCAAGATGGGGCCTGGGGGGGGTGGGCTAGGGGAAGCTTGACTGTGGCTGGTGGTCGTCAACTCGGGGTGGCAGAAAAAGGTGCGGAATTAAGAATATTGGATTCCCAGCCACTGGCCACTGTGCTTCTGCAGGCTTACCAGGCAGTTTGTTCGGAAGAGGCTGGCCTGACTGTCCAGGTGTGGTTTGAATGCACTCCTGGAAGACAAGAAAGAGCCTGGCCTCGTTTACTTCCTTTACTGCCTCCTCCTCCTCCTGCCAGCTCGCTGCTGGGGCACTGCACCTCTCCATCAGTGGTGGATGCCAGCCGCAATTTGGGAAAGCGGGGATGTGGGCCAGTGTGGAGTGCTCCCCTCTTGGGTGTCCCAGGAGGGGGCATTCCATGTCACTGTCCACAGGAGCATGCTGAACCTTCCTCCAGTGTGGTCTGGGTGGGGGTGAGAGGACTTCATCCACTTTCTTGCCGATGATGTCAGCTGCAGTGCACACACAAAAACTCAGCCTCTAGAATTTACCTGGTCAGCATAGGTCGGGCTTTAGAGAACCTTTTAAATCCCTAACCCTTCCCAGAACCCAGAGCAAGGAGAACTTGCCAAGAGCCCTAAGGATTCCTAGTGTACACTCTGGGTTAACCTAATCCTGGGATGGACAAAGGGCCAGAGGGTTTGAGGAAGGAAGCTCACCCCTTTCTGTTTGTTGCTCTATTTCCCATTTTGGGTTGAAGCACGTTTCATTCCATCCTTGGGGATTAGAGGCCCTGGCATGCTCCGCCCACACAACAACAGGGAGACTGGGAGGTGACGCTCACCTGGCTCAAAGCAGTTGCTCCCCCACCAAAACTCCAACGAGGAGCTAGGGTGCCCAGAATGGAATCACAGCCAAGGGGCATTTAATAAGTGCTCTGCCACTGACTGTGACTGGATGGGTGCATCTGTGGCAGCCGAAGTGCCTGGACTGCCCGAGCTCCTAGATGGAGCCTGCTCCTGTGTGCCTGCTGCTCTCTGCCTGGTTTCTGAGATCCACTGTGACAGAAAGCAGGTAGGCATGGCTACACTCAGCCTCATCCTCCGGCCGAGAAAATAGGAGGCGCAGTTGGCAACTCATCCCCACTGTGTGCACCTCCCTCTCCCTCGGCTTCTTCCTGCTCCGGCCTCTCACTGGGGGTTTGCCGGTCTGCTGCTCTTTCCTGGGTTCTCCTGGGCTGTGACAGGGAGGGAGCATCGTAGAAGTGGAGAGGAAGGCGCCCCCGGTGTGTGCAATGACTCCTGACTTCATAGCGCAGCCGCCGATGTGGCTCTTGAAGTGTGCACAGAGAAGTATGTTTCTCTGTGACAGACGGTACAGGTAGGGTAGGAAGGCCCCAGGAGTCTTTGTTTCCTGAGGTGACAGGCTTCTTCTAGGGTGCTCACTTAGAGGAGAGGGTCAGTGTTGTCCACAGAGGGATGGAAACCTGAAGAGGAAGGGCTGAAGCAGCTGCCTGGGAAGTAGGTGTCCCACCTATACCACACCCTCTCTAATTGGCTTCCCCACACCTTTGGTCTAGAAAGAAAACCCACACCCTAGGTGTCAAGCTCACCATGCAAAGACCTGTCAGGCCACAGCATTCATTCTCTTTAGGCCGCCTGTGCACAGCACCCGTTCCTGGCATTTTCCTTTGAAGCCCCCAGAGCTAGGCCGTTTGGGTTCTTTTTCTCAAAGACCAAGGTGGGCTTGGATTTACTGGGCCAGGCATTATAGCAGAATCCATTCTCCTGGCCTGGGGCTTGCAGTGTAAAACACAGCAGTCTCCAAGCCTATTAGTCAGGCAGCCTTGTGGAGAACATCTGAGTCAGATTCAAGGCCTAACCCTCAAGGCTGGAGGGTAGGCTGGACACTGCAGAGCTTGCACCCAGCAGGCCTGGCCCAGTAGCCTAGAAGGTTTCTGAACCTGGACTCGTTCAAATGTGGGACATGTAGCCAGTGGTTCCCTAAAGCAAGCTGGGACCAGCTGTAGGTTGCCAGTTCCTTCCTTGGCCACTTGGCTTTCACAATGAGTCCACCTGGGCCATCGCCTGGGCTGCCTGGCCTGTGGGCCCAGTTGTAGGCTGCCAGCATGGCTGTACCCACAGCTGAGCCAGTGGGCTGGGATGGAGGGCCAGAGGGTCGGCTCCCATTGCTGCATCTATGATGCTGCCATTGTTTAGCAGCTGACTAATGTTCATTGTTCAGCACAAATAGAAAACACCCAAGGGAGGTGTGACTATAGCGTCTACTCTTCTGATTGTATCTTTCCTGGTTAACTTGGCAAATTGAAAACCTCCTAACTGAGGAAGGGGCAGAGAGGTGTCTGCATCACCTGTTGGGCTTTGAACATTAGCCAGCACTACAGGTAAGCATGGACAGTAGACAGTTATGGGACTTGGACTCTAACACTCTGACAGGCTCGCCTTTGGTCCAGAGTGGGTGTATATACACATGTGTCCAGGGCTTTGTGTAATGATATTGGTCACCCACAATTCACTGTTACAAGCACAGGTCTGTGAGGACTAGAATTAGGGAGTATATAAACTCATATTTGCAGTCACCGTGGAACTGAGGCTGTAAGCACCAAACGCATGTTCACGCATAACTGATATTTTTATGGCATTCAGATGGGTTGCATGGGTGATCTCGAGCCTTGACAATGCCCGTGTCTCTGTCCGTGACTTGAGGGTGACTTTGGGAGGGGAGCCAGAATTTGCTCTTAGCTAGCTCGCACCAGGAAGTTGGGTCCCAGTCCTTTGGGGTACAGGAAGCCTTGGTGCTGCTTTCTTGCTTCTCTGTCCTTGGCTTTCCACTAGACCTTGAGAACACCTGGGAAGGCTTCCCTCTCTTATCAGCCTTCTGTTGTCTCCTCGGCCAACAGAGCGATGCTGGAGCCAGATGGGCCTGGCCTGCTCCATAGGCTCACAAGATCCTGAAATGTCTGGAAGGGGCCACGGGATGTAGGTTTTCAGTTCCTCCTTAGGTACCTTTGCTTCCTGCACGGGCACTTGTGAAAAGGAGTTTGGGGGAGTTAGGTACCACACTGTCCTTTTTAAAAGATCATAAATGAGAGCTTTGGTCCCCTTAAGAAGCCAGGGGTTGGCCAGGTCAGCAATGAATGAATGCACATGATATAGAATCCTAGGCATGGGCAACAGAAGGAGAGAGCCCACTTGTTAGAAAAGGGGGTGGCATTGAGGGACAAGGAATAGGGGAACAGCAGTCCCTGGGGGCTTAGCCTCCTCGCCCAAGCCTAGCAGACAAGTATTCCCCTGGGCTGCCGACCGACCCCACTCCATAGAGAGCACGGCTGCAGAGCCAACAGCAGATGTGCTGGCTGGGGCAGGAGGTAACTTAAGATCTGAGCCAGATCATCTTGCAGAGGGAATGCCCTAAGCTGGAGATAACACCCCTGCATCCAGTTAACCCTTTAAGCTCCCCGTGCCTGGTGAAGCTGGAAGAAGAGGAAAGGGAAGATATGGGAGTCAAGGCGTCAGACCTGTTACCAGAACCTTGACCCATCCACACGTAGGGGCGAACCCAGTGAACCAGAAGAGATCCAAGACAGACCCAGAGAGTCTGTGAGAGCAGGATGCAGGGTCTTGAGAGCAATGGGTAGGTAATCTTTGTCCCGGGAAATGCAGAAGGGAATAGGTTTTTATTCTCCAGGGGTAGGGCATGGCAGCTATACCTTTCTCAGACTCTCAGTAGAGGGGAGAGAAGCAGGTCACTTAGCTGTCCTTCTCCTGTAACCAGGTGTTCACCCCATCTTGGTGGCCCAGCATAGTAAAACTGGCCAAGCTAGGTTGGAGTCCCAGCTCTACTGATGACTAGTTGAGAAACCTTAGCAGAGTTGCTTGCTGCGCGCACCTCAGTTTTCCTATCTGCAAAATGGAACTTT